CAGGGCAGAGTTGCAGAGTATGCAGGCATTGCGGGCACTGCCCACACAGCCAGCGTGCATGTTCATGAAGGCACTGTGGTGGTTGATGACAACTTGGAGCATGACTCAGTGGAAGACCTGCTGGCTGTAGTAGGGGCGGTTGCAATGGAGTGGGCAGCTGATGGGGATACGTATCCCATCCAGGACCCAGATGCACTGGAGGAAGCCCAGGGCATGGAACCCTGCCACCACCACCAGGGGGTTGTGCTTGTGGAGCACAGTGTGCCCCAGCATGTCCTGGAGCATGATCACACCTTCAGGACGGCCTCCCCAACATGTCTTGCCCATGCTGAAGTGGTGGTCGACATAGCAGAGCCTGGCAGACAGGGTCAGCTTGAGCAGAGCGATGGGCAGCCAGGAGTTTGTGGGGAGGGGTTGCCGCATGGTGGTGTCCTACCACTCCAGGTGTAGGCAGAGCTGTTCCTGGAGATCCTGAAAGGTGGCCTGGGTCATCTGGAACACTTCCAGCCACTGCTCATCATCCCAGGTGGTCTGGACGATGTGCAGCCACCAATCCTGGCTGGCTGGGCGGGCCAGAGGTGGCAGGGCTGGAGGCCCAGGAGAGCATGGATGGCCCGGGCAGTGGCGTCCAGGAGCACATTGTTGATATCCCCGCCAAGGTCCATCCAGCAGGACAGGGTCCAGGTGGTAGCTGCGAGGTGGCAGGGGGACTGGGACAGTGCAGTGAGGCCAGCCAGGCAGTTGCTGTGTGTGGGAGCTGGCAGCGCCCAGACTCCCCTGGGCCAGACAGAGGTCACTGTGGCAGGCAAGCAGAGCCAGCACCATGGCTACCATGAGCTAGCAGTTCCTGCCAGGGGTAGGGGCAAGAGCAGTCATGGTGTGGGGAGGCAGAGGCTATGGTAAAAGAGCAGTTGCACGCTGCTCCTGTGCTGTGCATGCTGCTGCTGCCTAGAAAAGCAGCAGCCCAGGGAGTGGAGCTGCCTTTATAGATGGCTGCCAGCTGCTCCCCCTGGTGGTGGCAGGGGCTCACTGCAGGGCTGCAGGAAGCTGGAGCAGTTTGCTGCTAAGATCAGCAAATCTGCCCTTGGTTTCCTGCACACATAGACACATGCCCAAGAGTGTTTACTCTTGAGTACTTTACTCAAGAGTAAACTGCTTCTGGAGCAAATGCGTGTGTAGACATGCCCACTGGGTAGGGGGTCCCACAAGTCCTGGTTCTGGAATTACTGCAGGCCACTGGCAACACAGAGGAAAATGTTTAGTGATTAGAGAGAGATTACTGATGTCACGGAATCTATGGCAAAGGCTAGTGTCACCTTCATAGTCAGCTATCCAAGTTCTGCCAGACATTGTGTTGATAAGGAATCTCTTTGCAAAGAGCAGGCTAACTAATATCCACCTGAACAAGAGATAGTTACAAGGTGAGAAGAAATAGAGAAAAGGTAGATGCTGCTCAGAGACTGGGAAAAAGACAAAACAATGGACAGAGAGAGAAAGCAAGAGAAAATGGAAAGAAAAAAGCCATAAATGCTAAAAAAAAAAAATGTGTTGCAATTGGGATAGTTTGATTACCCAAGGCATACCTGTACCATGCTTGTTGACCACATGCTGACGGTCCCAATAGCATGCATGCATAACTATGTCATTTGCTTGAGGTTTGATTCCTAAAACTATCCATCATGTAGCTATGATACCAGTGTCAATGTGGACAGAGATTGCACCCATGATGCTATGATGTTTGCAAAGTAGTCTTTCCACTGCTGCTGCATGTTGCACCACAGACTACTGAAATGATCTGCTTCTTCTTTTTGTATTCTATTAGTTGTGAATCTAGCTGGTTGCAAACTACTTATTCATACAAATTATGCTGTGCACACTGAGATGTTCAGTTATACCTACTTCCACAAGCAACTTTGTCTGCTTGAACAGGGTTCCTATGCTGAACAACTTTAATGAATTCATGCTCTCAATTAGCATTTCTAACTCTTATCATAGGCAATCTTTTGGCCAGCTGGCAGCTTGTTCCAAAGGTTGACATTTAGGCTCTGGTCCAGAACCAACTTAGATAAAACTCAGTTCATTATGAGGCTAAGCACCTGACCGGTTTTGATATAACCAGAGCCAGCAAGCTATGCTGTGAACACTGTAAATCCTTAAAGCACAATATACCAAACCAAGAATAATAAACTCAGTTGTGTATATAAAGCCTGCCCCTTTATGATGAACCTAACTGGGCTTTTGTCCAGGACCAAAATGCCTTGAGATGTGGTCTTGAGGGGATGGGTAAAGAATCCCCTCCACACCAGCTTGGAGGACAGGGACAACACAACCAGACTAGAAAATGCCTGGTATTTTGCCAGAATCATGGTATACTTTTGAGAGTGGTGTGAGAGAATCCAAGAAGACTGAAGGCTTGGCAATGTGCAAGGCAGTCAATCCAATTTGTCAAAAGGAGGAAGGGGGGAAATCAGGAGATGAAATGATCCTTTACTATATACTTATTTAGATAGAAGGCGGGGGAGAGAGAGAGAGAGAGAGAGAGTGAGAGAGTAAACTACACCAATAGGAATGATTTTGAAGGTTCAGGGGTTGGGACAGAAATTTCCAGAAACTATCATGCTGCTGTTACTCTGCATGAAAAGAAAAATGTATGTTACTTCACATGAAGTTAGATGTTTCATGTCTATTCTGTGCTTGTCTATTCCTTTACCTTCCATAGCCACCCCGGCACAAACTGCATGCGAAGCCTGTCCTTTCTCAGTTCCCCAGGTCTCAGCACTCCCATGGACTTCCTTATTTTACAGTGCAGTCCATGGTTTCCAGCCATGGTGATGTAACCAGCTTATTATGCACACTAACTGGCTGAAAGATATCACATGGACACATTCAATAGGGCAGACAAAGGGGGAAGTATTTCGTAAGTCACACACAAATGTAAAAAGGCAAACAATGATTGCAAGAAATTACACGTTAGCTAGTATGGTTACAATATTTATATTGCTTTTTACTGTAATATTTATATGCCTGTCAGCAGTTTCTATGTAAACATGCTCAATGTCTTTATTTGCAACTACATCTTTCTAGTGGATGTATGAAAATCAGTTCTAATCAAATTCAGATCAGCTATCCATGTAATTCCATTACTGAAATATATAACAGTTAATGATTAAACTGAAATGCAGGAACACAGGCAATGAGTAGCAAAGTAAAACAGCAATGTAGAAGAGAGAGCTATTAATTCTAGGCTTTATTTTATCTTAATTCACAATATCTATGCCCTGTTGTCTTTCATAGAACATATCTGCCAACACTGCTATTAAGATTCTGGGCAAGGTATCTTTCCTTCTACCCAATAATCTAAGACAGCATGAAAAACGAATTACAGGCAGTCCTCAGACTTAGGACACAATTGGTCAAAACGTTGTAACTCGGAACTGATTTTCCCATAGGAAACAATATTATAAATGGGGGATTGTTTCTGTGAACCAAGGCCCAATACCCTGTTTTCACCAAAAATAACCCAGAATGTTGTACTCAATTAATTTTAGATTAGTAATATAGCTACATGAATATATTTATATTGTAAATAGCAATCACATTGATTTGGAAGGTCTTCTTTGAGGAGACTTTGCTGGACATTTTGAAAGGCTCTTGGTTGGACTTTTTGAAGGGTTCTTGGCTGGAGTCTTCTCAGGAGTCTTGGCTGCAGGTTTTTCTGGAGTCTTGTCTGCTTTCTTAAAGAAAGTGTCCAAGGAAGTTTGGACAGATGTTCTCCAGGGAGATGGGTGATGCAGAGAACTTGTTCTCTGGCGTGGCTTGACGTCAGATCAAGTGTTGTAAAGCTGAAACTGATGTCAGAAAGTTGAAACAGGCTGTCAATTTATAAATGTAAGTGCAAAACGTTGCAACTCGAAACACTATAAGTCGAGGATCGCCTGTACATTTATACATACTCTGGTGTTTCAAGGGGTGTATGGGTCACATAACTCTGGTTACAGCTCTGCCATTGCCTTTAGTTTACTATAATGCATATTCCAAATGGGATCATCTTTGGACAGGACCGCATGGGCTGCTGCTTTGATTCAACGGGTTTAATCTTTCAGAGGAGTTTTTCATAGAATTTCATAAGGATCAGTAGTTTGTGCTGAGGTTTGTCTTGTGAAAGTCTGAATCTCTCCTGGCTAAACAGGATCAGTACCAGCAGGAGGACTAAGAATGAGTAATGATCAAGAGGGAGAGATGTGAGGAGAACAGAAAATTCCACTGATGTGATATAATGTCTATTTTAAAATACAGATCAACAGTATTAACCCCAATATTAGCCTCTGCATCAACTCTTCCAGCCCAGGTTCATGATCTCAATAATACCAATAATTAATCATATTGCCTCCTTCTGTAAAAGGAAAAGTAAAGATGGATGCTTTCTCCAGCAAACTGAATGCCAAGAACCAATGGTGTCATCCTTTGGCTTCTTGGGGTGTCTGCAGCTGACCTGCAAGTGTTAAATTGTATAACAATTTTTTTAACATAAAAGTCCTGTGTACTTTACTTACTATGCAGAAGGCAGATATGACATTTGTTACTGAACACTCACTGCACGTCCACATGCATCCCCATCTCATTTTTCCTTATTTTTAACTTTATTGACTAATTAATCCAACGTATCAAATGACCGAAGCTGGTAGAGAGCCAGGATTCACAACAGTGACCCCATTTAGATGGGACAAGTGAGGGAAGAAGAAGAGTCCAATATATCAGATAACACATTTAACATTAAGGATGCATCCAGTCCCTATAATATACAAAAAGATAACTTACCTATCTTCTATCAACAATGCACCCTTAACTCAAGTCAATTTTCACAGAGAAGTCTGTGGTTTTTTTCCTATTTTCCTTTCAGTCTCTGCTAGCTCACTTATGTTTCAGTTGATGTTAAGTTTTTGTGTTTCTTCAATTCTCTATGTAACCTGCTTAATAATTCACCCCCTTTTTTTCTTCAGAACTCTGCACAAACAATGCTCCCCATCTTCCATCCCATCTCATTGTCAATCTCTGAAAAAGAGAATCCATCACAACTCTGTACCCACTCAGAATATAAATGAGTCTTCTTCATAGGCTTTAACTCTCCAAACAAGGATGCACAAGCCATGGAGATAGTAAGTATGCAGGACCACCCAAGATCACAGTGGGAAGGGAAACATCATTAATATTACCATTATTCATTGAGGAGACAATTCCACTTACTGGAATAGCCCAGCATTTCTGAAAATGTGGGTATTATGTATTGTACTTTTACTAATTTGGCACCCATGAATCTCCCAGAACATATACCTTGAATGTTGTAAGGGTTTGGGGAGTTTATAGGAATTTACAGAAATCTGACCTCTGCTTCCACAATATTCCTGGATTTGCTGAGCATCCCAGAAGACCTTTCTAAATCTCCTGCTTCTGAGATGAGTGTGGGAAAGGCATTCTGTAAACGATGTTACTGCAGAGCATTAGTGTAGAGGCTGGGACAAAATTGCCAAGGTTCATAATCCACAGCTATACAGCTAGTTGGGTGCAAAGCACTGGCAATGCTTCTGTTGGTCTACTCCTCCTGACTTATTTAACTATTAACAGTTAATTAATAGTTCTCTACAGAAAGCACAGCAGGGGAGACAGTAATTGCTATCATAGTGTCTGAAGCAATGCTTGCCTTTGGCTTCACTGGCAGCTAGACTGCACTAGTTGTCTGCAGTTGTCCTTGACAGGTCACTTTTCCATTATAAACAAATCCCTAGGTGCCACATTCTGTCTAAACTGAATCATGCTTTAGGTACAACAGAACCAGTTTTGTCGCACTTTTGCTATAAGCAGTTTCACTGCTCTCAAGACTAGGCAGCAGCCCCCTTACTAAAAGTGGTATCAGGAATAGGATATTTTTCTACAGTAGGTGATGGCCTTGCAGCAAGTGCACTGCAAACCCTGGACCTAATTGTTCTCTATTTATAGTCACATAAATCCATTGACGTTAATGGCATTATCCTAAGGCAGTGGTGCTTAACCACTGGCTCAAGGAACCATATCATTTGGCCATTGGGGCTCCCCACAGCTCTGGAAATTTTGCGTCAGGAAAGCAGTAGCAACATTGCTTCCAGAGCTGTGGCAATTCATGTTGGCACTGTTTCCCCACTGCCAAATTTACAGGCCCATAGGGAACCCTGTAGCCTGGATGACATGGTCCCATGCTGTGTATGGGGTCATACTCCAGCTGGCTTAGTGTGTGGCATTAGCTGGTGCTATGGCTGGATCTGGTACATGGGATCACATATCTGGAGACCCACCCTGTCATGGATCCAACCCATGGACTAACTGGCCCTGCATTACTTACCTGGCCTGCGGGGCTGGATATGTTGAACACCATTGTTCTAAAGAATAAAACAGGGGACAAGTGGGCTACATTGAACAAAGACAAAGATATCTAAGAGTGGTATGCCCCCATCTATATTAGAAGCTAAAAAGTTTCCAAATCCAGCTGAAGAAGACCCAGTGAGAAAACTATAATTAATTATCAGTGTTACCAACAGTGTGTTCTGATAGTATAGGCATTTGCAACAGCCAGCTCCTGGAGGTCATTTATTTGGGAACAGCTCAGTACTTGTGATGTTACAGTATTTTTTACTATCATAACATATGTCCAAATACTCACTAAATTTGGGTAAACATTCAGTGCTTTCTCTCTTGCTTATCATTACTTTCAGATATATCCAGATTGCTCCAGATATATCCTTCAATAGCAGGAACTTTACACTAGCATTCTGAGAGTAATAATATTGTCTGCTTTCCTCCTTTTTTTTCTTAAAGTCCGAGACAGTAAAAAACAGTATCTGAGATCAGCAACCAATCCGAATGGGAAAAAACACATAGTTTAGATTTTTATAGAGCTCATAAATAGTTTATAGGTGAGTCGTTTGATTTGGGGCTGGGCTTGAGATCCTTCCTGCTTTGTGAAATAGGGTTCGGGAACGTTCTGCAAGGAGAAAGAACATAATCCTCTCCTTGGAGAGACACTTATTGGAGAGAGGTGGGCCAAACAGATCACTCTTGGGCACAAGCACTCCCACACAACACTCCCCACCCACTGCAACCCACTTGTTCTCTTTAGTTAACTTCCTGCTTCTCTGAGGCATACCTGCCAGTGAAGGAACTGAGAGGAGAAAAGAAAGATGAGAAAGTACCTAATCATGGAGAAATGAAGCTTTGGATTCAGTGCTTGAAGAATTCAGGCTCTAATTTCCCAGGTCAGGCTGGTATAAAGGAGATCTTCATGTAGTTTGCTACCTTCTCATATTTATTAGTCACCAGTGTTTTTACACCACCCTCATAAGGATATGAGAAGACTGGAGGGAGGGGACAAGACCTTTTGTTGGTTTCTCTTCCTTGGGCCAGAGAGAGGGAAGAACAGAATCCAAGGAACTTGAAAACAGGTTTTTGGGATGTCTACGAGCAGCAACAATGGGATGAAAACAGAAAGCAAGGGGACACAGCAGGTACCAGCTCCAGAAGGCTTTATTTGGTGAGTGCATGCTGAAAGCTGATAACAAAAAAAGGTGTTGCAAGGGAATACCTGTATGGAGGTAGGTTGAGAATGTGTGTCTGTATGACAGCTGTATGTATTAAGTGTACACATGCAAATTGGTATATAGGCTTACAAAAGTGCAGAATGTCAATGAATATGTATATGTAAAGGTATATGCAGACCTGTGTGTCTGTAGGGAAGAAAGTATACTGTATGTATGAAACAAAGTGTGAGTGTTTTGTATGTGAGAGAACCAGGAATGAGGACCTAAGAAGATCACAGGATTTATCCCATTGCAACAATGTACATGCCAAGTTCTTCAGGGAAAGATAAATGGATCTGCTGATGCTTTGAAAACTTAGATTTAATTGGCTGCTTTCTAGTTTCAATAGTTACAGCTATTAATGCTAATAATTATATTTACCCTTTTAAAATATTTAAAAATGTTTAATATTATAAGTGTCTGAGTTGCTGTTTGAAAATGCTTAAATGAGCACACACCAGAATGAATTTGTGTGCATTTGCACGTCTACATGTTACCATGTAGTACATGAATGAAAGTGTGTGCTTCCCTGTCTGTGTGACTGTAGTCCATATATGTGAGTGCATGTTTCCATATGTGTATGTACAAATGGAAGTCTGTATGTAAGAGTAGGGGTGGTGTTTTATACTCTTCCTGGTTGTGTAAATGAATACATTTGTTGTCTAATTCCTAGGTGCATAGTCCCATGTGAATAGATGACTGCGTGTGGCTACGTAGCTACACAAACTGGGAAGACATAGTAGCAGCCAAGGCATGTATGTGGTTCCTTGTGGATATGTGGAAGTTGTAGATACCCAAAAATGGCATTAGCTATGATCATGACTGCTGGACTAGAATGGAATGGAAAAGGGTTGTGTGGATTTGTCTGTCTTGCTCCTCCCCCTACTCCCATGACTAGGTCCTTTATCTGGGAAGCCAGAAGTGCTGGATTCTAGGTTCTTCCCCCACAAAAAGGAGTTTGAATTTAGTTTTCTTATTTCCCAGCACAGCACTCTAACCATTATGTCACAGGTTAGCCATTATCCAGTGACTTCTCTGGTGCTTCTTCTGCAGCTTAGCCACTTGCAAAGTCATTTAAAAATGGCTAGAAGACACAGCCATAAGGAAGCTTCTGCCTCAGTGTGAGCAAGAGTTTCAGATAGAAATCAGGCCCCCCTCTCTTCCAAGCCAGCAGCCAGTATATTGTGAGCCACATACCTTCTGGCTTGTATCCTTCCTGGCCTCACATATCTTTCACATATATCCCTCTTGTGGCTGCTCACGGGGCCAGCTTCAAAAGAGCACTGAAGAAAAGGATAACCAATAGCTGACCTATGGTGTGGTAGTTAAGAGATATCAGAAATGCAGGATCAAAACTCCTCTGGGTGAAGGGGGCCAGAATCCAGAGCCTTCAGTTTCCCAAGTGAGTGCCCTGGCCAATGAGCTATTGAGGGGGGAAGACAAGAGGTCTCTCTCATTCTCATTTTGTTGCTCGTGCATATGCCCAGTCTGTATGCATACATTACTGTCCATGTGTGTATGGCTACACAGGTGGGAATAGAATTTCAATCTGTGCATAAGTGGCATTTTGACAGCTTAGACAATCATGTAGATGACTAAATCTGGACCCTTAGACAACCAAGAAATAATAGATTTCCACCCTAGATGTGCAAATGTGTTGGCGTGACTGTTTGCATGGGTCAGTAAAGGTTTGCAAGTATACAAGTCTGTGTGTGTGTGCATGTGTGCACATGTGCATGCACACATCAGAATGATCTACATCCATAAATTTATGTGAGTGCAAGAAAAAACAAGAACAGAAAAAATGATGTGTTGTTATATAAAAAAAAAGATCTAAAGCTATCCGATGGTAAGTCAAGGTAAAGAGTGAGCACTGAGGTATTCCTACTATTTTTGTTTTCCACTCCATGTCATTCCTTCCGTCTTTTTCTTTCTCTCTTTTTCTTTGGCTTTGGGATTTGCTAGACATGAAGAATTCACTTCTAGGTTCTGCACCAACAATACATGAGAAATAGGCCTAATCACTGGTTTCATTCTGAGCAATGCTCAAATGAAGAGAGGGATTATTTTAGGTTAGTATGTCTTCACAGGGAAATCCTGGGGAAGCAGAACTGTATTAATGTCATGTAAGGAGCATGTTCTGGGACCTACTTGTGACAGGCTTCTAGGAACAATGTTCAATAACAGTGCCCAGCAAGGAGAGGGCTCCCTTGGTTGCTGATTTTTCTGGGATTATCTGAGACCTGGTACTCACAGAAAGTGCCCTTGTTCTAATAACTGACTGTGCTATACAGGTACAGTGCAATCAAAGCTGGTAGTTCTGAGTACATGTGCCCCATGGTAGGAATTTCTATACTCTTAATGTTTCCCAACAATGGTGGTATTTGTATGTAGAAAATTATAAAAAATACAAGGATAACGTATACAAGAATATGAAGTGACTCTTCTTCCTTGGTACATACTTGAGTACCAGAGACTATTGGTATTTGTTTTGTATAAGTTAGTTATAGACACCATTTTCTGCCAAGGAGATGATGGGGAAACTCCATCAGTGATGGGGAACCAGGGCACCTGAGAACAGGATGGTGGGAAGAAGCCTGACAACCAGAAGAAGCTGAAGACATGGCCACAAACATCTAAAAAATCTTTGATGGTGTATTTTGTTTATCTGCTGGAAATGAAGGAATCACAGTTTTGATATGTGGCCTGTATGTTGTATATCATCTTGACAATAAAGACTTATATTCGGGCAACCCACAGTCCAGTTTGCCAGGACTCTAACCTGCTCATCATGTACGCCATATTTACATTCTCTTGTTACCTTGCATTTACATATCCATATATTATACCCGTATGCTTACGGAAGATTTCTGCGTGCCTTTTTGTGCACCTTTGCCCACATTAATTTTGGCATCTCCCTATATTTGTGCCTGTGTACAGTATTTCCATGTGTATGTCTTGCTCTTGGGATGTATCTAGACATTTGTTTCCTGTATTTGGTGTGTTGGCTTAGGATAGCCTTATGGATGTGTATTTTTGTTGGTTTGCATTTTGTTTCTGAGTGTTGTGTAATGTGAATGTTCTTGTGATGGTATGTAGTTGCATGTGTATGTGATATCATGTTGATATGTTGACATATTTATGGTCTCACTTGCATGTTCAAAACCCTCTCTGTCTTCCACAGACGTCTGTTCCTCCCGCTACCCAGCCTTTCCCCCTCTGTCTGCCATTGCCATCCATAACACCATGTGGTTAGAGTCACATTGGAAGAACATCCGCCAGACTCTGTTACTTCTCTTCACTGCTGCACTTCTCATTGGGGTCACAATGTTGGCTGTTTCCTCTAACATCAACCCAGTAGGATACTTCTTCCTGGGGGTGGGAGGCTTGTGCCTCATTGGCTACTTGCTGAGTGTATTTGCAGAGTATTACGTGAAACATCAGCAGACACAGAACGCAAATCTGGCAGCTCCAAGGATGCAGAGCCAGGCAGGGTGAGCAATTACATCTATTACTTCTTCTTTCTTTTTTTTACCCTTTGTACCCCATGGTATAACCATTTCATTATATACCTTTCCATAATCTTCTGTTGCACTTCTCCCAAGAGACAGAAGTCAAAGTTCATTCCAGAAAACAGCATATCAGTCCAGGTGGTTGTATTCCCAGGTGGAGGTTGTCAAAGTTCATTTTGCAAATCTCAGATATCTCAATCAGCGCATATTCTTTTCCTCCTGGGCGCACTTAAAAAGGATACATAGATCCAGCTATCTCTTCTCTGCCTTTAAGTCATCATGTCCTACTCTAATCTTTTCTGAACCCTTTTGGGTCATTAATAGTTTTGTTTATGAGCCCTAACATAACAACTGTTTGTTACAAAGGCCAGATAAAAAAAGAAAGAAAGAGCTGGGGAGATACTTTGATGACTCCCAGCTGGACTTCTGCAGCTCAGTCCTTCAAACTTTGTCTGAACAGCAGTAGTTCCTGGGCAAAATTTAAGGGGCCTGTAACTTCGAGTGCTTCTATTTGTAATATCAAATGTGCTACATCTAATGCCTGATTTTGAAGGATATCAAGCTTCACAAATTTTGCTCATATCAACTAGATTTTTCTAGCATCTGTATAAATTAGGTCTTATTGCTTACGGTTAATCTTTTAAAAATAGCAACCTCATTTGAATAGTTTGGTCATAAGCTTTTTTCTGCCTCAATTTCTTGTTCTGTAAAATCTGGGGTGGGCAATTATTTGGGCCCATGAGCCACATGCGGAGTTTTGGTGAGCTGTCGTGGGCCAGGTCATCATGCTCCCCCATGCAACAAATCACCAGAACTCTGTAAGTGGCCCCTGTGCACAGCCAGGCAGCTGGGATGGGCTGCAGGTGGGTGAGGAGCAGCATCCAGGAGCTGGATGGAGCCTGGGCTGGGGATTGGGATCTTGGGGTAGTGACACTGTGGGGCCAGGGCCAGAACAAAGCCACTGTTCACTGTCTGCATGCTCCTGCAACAGGCACTGGTTCCGCAGGGAGGGGCTTGTGGGGAGCGGATTTGGCTTTGCCCCAGAACCTGGCTCCACTGCCCCAGGATCCCAGACCTGGCCCCGGACATAGCTCCCTGCCTGCCCGTGGTCTTATCCTGTCTGCCTGGCATGTGCCCTGCTTGTGTGGGTCCCAGCTGGTCTTCATGGAGACCCTGGGATCTTAGGGTGGTGACAGTGTGGAGCCAGGGCCCAGGGCAGAGCCGCGATGTGCTGCCTGCACACCCTTGTTCACAGAACCATTGCCCTGATGCATGGGTGTGCAGGCAGCAGATCATGGCTCTGCCCCAGACCTGGCCCTAGCCCTGGCTCTGCACTGTCACAGCCCTGCAATCCTGATCCCGATCCCTGGTCCTGACCACCCATCCCACTCCCAGATGTGGCTCTCCACACACCCGTGACCGCATCCCACCTACCGGGCTGTACACTTTGCCCTTGTGGGTCTTGCCGGCAGTGGTGGGTGTGGGGCAGACAGGTCACGGTACTCAGGTAGCATGGTAGGTCTGGCAGCGGCAGCCAGGAGCCATGGTTTGGGCTGCCGGGAAACAAGAGTTTGGCCACTGTGCTACCTGAACCCTGCTGTAGATCCAGGGGTTGTGGGACTGGCCACATGTGCCATGTCCTGGGTGGCCCTAGCAGCTGGGCTAAGTGGGGCCAAGGGACCTGCAGCAGGCTGTACAAAATGCCTTGGTGGGCCAGATATGGCCTGCTGACCGTATTTTTGCCTCTGTACAGCATCTGTACTGTTACTGCACAGTTGGGCGCATGTGTAGACGTGCCCAGTGTGATTAGATAATATAAAGTAACAAGGGCTGACAGTACTCTCGCACATATCATTTGACTTGTTAGTTTAAAGTAAAATATAGTATTTATTTTTCTTTCATTCTTTTTCTTCAAAAAGTTGCTGGTTCAAGCTAACAAAGCATGTCTTGGTTTTTCCCGATGAAAAAGCCGATGATCAATTTTTCATGCTAACAGATTGAGGACATAGGTTGGGCACCAGACTGAATGGATTTGTCTGTCTCTGTGTAGCACAAACTTTGTCAGGACTTCTTTAATATACGTCTTTGTCTTTTGTGTGCAGGGTGAATAATGCTTATGAAGCTCCTGCATATGAGGAAGTGATGAATATGCCAAACCCAACAATTTGGACAATCACTTCCAATGCAGGCACAGTGCCTTCACCGGTGGGTGATCCCCCGCCATACAGTGTGGTTATAGAGTCACCTGCCCTGGCTGAGGCTGTGGTGGAGACCTTCAGTGTCTCAGTAGCGTCAGGCACTAGGCATTTCTCTGAGGCAGATGCAGGATCCAGGCTGCACCTTCGGTTGGTATTGCCCCCAAGGCTGCAGCGGTTTGCTTCAGATATCCATGAAGTCAAAGGTGCTGAAGACAGTGTGGAACCCTTGGAGCCACTTACACCACCCCCTGCTTATGACAGTGATACTGAAGATGAGGTCTTTGAAGAAACTGGGGAATCTGCAAGACTATGACTACTTAAAAAAATACCAGATGTCATGGATTCAACACAAAACCCACCACAGTGCATCAGTACACAGGAGAAAAAAAGCTGTGGAAACAGTCAAGAGCCTGCAGTGGTGAATGTTAAAGCCACAACTGACTTTTGAGGTGCTTGGTGTCTGGGGTTGCAGATGAGTTATATGAAAGGAGGATAAGGTACACCCTCACCCCAGCCCTACCCACATTTGCATATCTCAACAGATACCCTACCCAAACCATTTCTGTCCTACATAGATCAACACCACTGTCTATTTCTTACACACAAGCCCACTCCATCCACTGTGATAGATGTGCAGAAACTACCCTTTTTCACTTACACAAATGCATAGGCACACATTAATTTAAGTCAGCTCAATGCAATGAGATTTCATTGGCAGGACAAGCTTTGTAAGGGAGCCAAAGAACTTTAGAAAAAAGGCAAACCACTCAGGTATCAGTCAGAAGCAGAAGCACTCTACTCCCCTTACATATACCTAACATATATACATGCACACAGATTTGCTACCTCCCATGTGTGTTAAAGTGCAAATGACCCTGACACAAATGACCCTATGTGTGTTAAGGTGCAGCGGGCTGAAAATTGCAGGGGTGGTAGCCCCTGCTCAGGCCACAAAGCCTGCCAAGCTTCAAGAAAATTGGTGCAGGGGTTTGGGGGGAACTGCACCCCAAGCTGCTGACAGGCAAAACTCGTGATGTGGGTGGCTGCTTGGGCGACTACGTCTGTCTTGGAGCACAGGGGGGTGAAATCTAGTGCAAGCCTGGGTGCTGGGCCCTGCCAGGCCACGAAGCCTGCCAGCTGTGTGTGTCTTGCTGGGGGAGTCTGTCATCCGGGGCCCTGCACCCCAAGCTGCTGACAGGCAAAACTCATGATGTGGGTAGGTGACATTGTGTGTGTGTTAAGGTGTGCCCTTCCTGGCACTGGGGCCTCTGCACAACATGGCAGTGTGCCCCAGTGAGGCCTCCTCCTCCCCTACAGCCTCACGCCTGGTCCTCCACTTTACGTGACAACAGGTAAAATAACTTGGCTGGCTCAACACCAGGAGCATCAGCAGCAGCATCAAAGATACCCAAATGGACCTGTCACAGAGCCTTTGTTTTTATAAAGGAATTGACAGCAAGAAGTAAAGATGTTGTGTTGTGTTGTGTTGGACATATGATGTTATTCATGGTATGTGATCACGTATCTTGTGTTTTTATTTCTATATGTGTATTACGAAAAAAAAAGGAGTACTTAAAAAAAGTGTATCTTTGGAAGCTTTAGGGTTGAAAATCCCTTTGTCAGACTGAGGAAGTACCTGCAGTTGGTCCTGGATGGAAGGAATAGTAAAGAAGCCAGAGGCTGGCCTGGCCCACAATGCAGGCAAGAAAGCCAGTCAGTGAAAATGGAAATGGAGGCATCGGGGGGAAGGGACAGGCTGGGGTGCGGGGTAGGGAGGAAAGGGGGATGTAGCAGCGCAGGTAAAAGTGCAGAGGTGCCTGGGGTGTCAGATGTCTGACAGGTCACAGCGTGCCAGAACTCCACTGTGTATATTGAGTCCATGAGTCTCTGTACCTACTACCTAGGAGGCTGATGAACTGCAGTTCATAGGCCCAGCTCTGAAAAGTGGTTTGTACATTCAAACAAGCACCTAACCTCATCACCAGAAGTGAAGCCAACTTCCTACAGGTCAAAACACAAAACCTGCCAACTATCTCCAGTACCCCCCCAAACTGCACACCAGGACCTGTTGGCTACAAATGTCCAACTCGGGATCCTTAAAATTCTAGTTTATTAGGCGGATTGAAACACTGTAATCATAAACCTTGGGGCTGGTTCCCACACACACACACACATGTACACATGCACACACATACACACACACAGTAGCAGGCTACAGAGTCAGGTATACCTATCCTACAAGCGCTGGAGTCTGTCGTTGAGGCTTCTTTCAGCGTGGTGTTATCTTCCAGAAGGGGGTCGCTGGCTGGTCCTTCTGGCTGGACAGGTCTGGTCGAGTTGGAGATCAAGAGGGCACCCGAGGGTCACTTTTCACTGCCTTTTAGCTGTCCCTGGCAGACTTTGGCGACTCCCCAGTTTTCAGGTTTGCCCAATCCAGGGGTCATTGACCCTCGTGGGACTTCCCCCCACCTCAGTGGCTACTGGACGGCATCTGTCAGCCCCAGGGGTCGCCCGCATGTACGTGCAGGTTTGGGAGTCCATTGATGAATTTTGAATAGGGCTCTGGGAGCAGTTGATCTGGAGATACTCAGCCCAAAAGTTGGTCCCCAGCGTTGATTAACTCAGGCCTGGGCTTCTAGCCTTTGATCAGTGACGTTTAGAGATTTCCCGGTTGTTACATTGTCTGCCTGATACAGAGAAGGACAGTTTGATTCCTGCCCTTGTTAACATTGTTACAATGTATAACTTACTAAAACACATTTAGTTGAAAGTTGAAAGGTGAGGAGTATAAAATATAAGCTACAAATGCCATGGCACACAAATAGATAAAAATACAAGGGGAGATACAAAATGCACAAACACAAATTTTAAAACACAATTCCTTATCTTAAAGTGAAAGAGAGAGGAAGAAAGAAAAGGTAGAAAAAGAGAAACATATCCGAAGAGGGGAGAGCAAATGCAGGCAAGAGGAAAAGGGGGCTTTCTGCTACAGACCTATCAAAGACAACAAAACCCAACTACCTGTGGGGACACATTCCTCATGAAAAAAAATCACTCTGCTTCCAGTCTCTTAGGCCTGATCCTGAGAAGGAACAAATTACAATGCAAACCACTTTTCAGGTACTTCCTCAGCCAGATAAGGGGGTTTTCAACCCTGAAGCTGGCATCCCGGGCAGTTAAACTGTGCTCACCAGGAGCCTCACAACTGCACTGCAACCAGCAAGTGTCAGGCCTGTCCAAGGCGTGACAGGTCTGGGCGTTCCCCATCTAGGACTTTGTGCGTGTGTGCATGCGTTAGCTGGAAGTTATGGCGCCTCCTACCTGCCTTTCAGCAGAGGATCGTTGGTCCTGGCATTTATGGGGCTGCCGCACTGCCAGCAGTCCCACCAGGCCTCCCTACCCTGGCAGGGTGCAGTTTTAGTGGTCATGCCCAGGACCTGGGGCCTCCTGCTCCCTGCAGCCCTGCCTTGCGCAGCTCCTCCCTCAAGTATTCCCTGCATGCCTCATACAGGGAGGGCACCACTGCCCTGCTAAAGGTGGTGCGTGCAGGCACTTTGTAAAATGGGGCCAGATGTGTTACAAACTGCTTGAACCCTGGCCGCTCAACTAGGGAGAAGGGCTGGCTATCCAGAGCAAGCATCTCCCCAATGCTCTGGGTGATCTTGCTTGCCTTGGGAATGTTCCCCCATTCTGTCCACCTTTCTCCCACTGGTCCAGTGGCCCGCCTCTGCTTGGGGAGAAGGGGGCTTTGGAGCGAGCAGGGGACTTCCCTTTTGGCGCACACGTACTGGTGCCAGGATGAGTAGGAAGAGGGGCAAGGGGGTGGTGCCTTCTCAGATGCAGCAGCATCGCCGTGGTGGTGAAGTGTCTCACATCCTTGTCATGGCTCATGTGCCTTCAGCAGTGCTGGCAGATGGCAAACCTGGGATCATCTGCCACCTCAAAAATGATCCCACGCTACATTACTCACCTGGTTCTGGGTTGAAGGCGAGGATCCTGCCTTTTCCACCTTCTCAGCAGGCTAAGGCTGAACAGCAGGAGGAACTGCCTCAGCTGAGCCACTTGCCTCCACAACCTCAGCCTCCGCCGAGGTGCTGCTTTCCGGAGCAGACCTGGGTCTAGGGGAAATTTGAGGGGTGTGGAGCACAAACTCTGATTCCCCCTCAGTCCCCAGAATTGCTTGAGCCAGCGCGCTCTGCATCCCTGGTTCCAGCTCCAGATCCTCCTCTGGCAGTGGGCAGTGTACGCTGAGAGCTGAAACTGGGGTGGAGGAGATGGTGATTCCACTGCTGGTACCCACTTCTGGATTGAGCGGAGGTGGTGCAGGTGCAGGGACGTCAGGTGCAGACACTGCTCCCACCACCTGGCTTCCACTGGCAGCACCGATGTCATGGCTGCTTGGGAATAGAATGCATGTGTTTGGGACGGGGTGGGGGGGGCTTGCAGCTCTAGCTCTCCCCGTACCCCCTCTCCCCCCCCCCACCAGAAAACCTGGCACCTCCCTTTCCAGCATGTTTCATATTGATCTTTCCTGTGCTGCAAAAGGTCTCTGTGTGTGAGAATCCTTCTGTATTGTGTGTTTTATTCCCTCTGTTGCGTGCGTGCACTGGCCTTTTCTTTCATTGTTTGCTTCAGTGTTAAGGGTTATGTAAAAATTGTGTGCTGTCTGTCTGTCTTGTGCTATGAATATGTTTTTTCTCTATATTTTCTGCGTATCTGTGTGTCTGTGTGCACGTCCAAGCAAGCAATCTGTGCCTACCTGCAGAGTGAGAGATCACACTGGCAGGGAAAACACACCTTTCTTTTTTCAAAGTTTAAAAAAAAAAAAAAGAGTAAATATAAATTCAAAGAAATAAATTGAATAGTAATAATAATTGAATAGAATAGCTAAGCTAAGCTAAATCCTACCCACTCCTTTGTAAAAAGAAAAAGGAGCAGGCAAGTTCAACTAGTACTGAGCCAGGAAGCCACGATGCCTCAGTCTGAGTGTTTCTCTGTCGCACAGTTCCTGACAGGGAACAAGCTGGGAAAAGACACAGCATGCCTCCAGAGGCTTTTATGCTGTTTCTAGGCCCACCCCTCCCCCACTCTCCCTCCCTCCTCCGCTCCCCCTCCCTCTTCTAACTGCAAGTCAAGCTGTCCAAAGTGTCCGAAGCGCTTCTGATGCTCTGAACCACTTCGGATAGCTTGCCTGAGCCTGCGCTTCGATCCGGGCATGCCACTTTGGATGCCGAAGTGACCAAAATGGCACTGGATCTGAAGCGTGACCCAAAGACCCACACAGCCCTAGTAGGCATGCCACAACCCTGTGTATTTAGATTCTTTCATTTTTTTAAATATTTCTTATTTAACTTTATTTTAATGTAGTGTATGTTTCAGGCAAACCATTGGGTCAAATTCTTTTTTTGAGATTGAACAGACCTAGGAAGAGGAAGGTCTTTAAAGAAAAAAGAGAAAAATACAGTTTTTGGAAAAGCAATGATTAGTCAAAACGTTAATTCATTCTTTCATCTCATGTCTCATTTTGCTTCTCACCCCCAAGAAATCCATTCCATCCTCTACTATCTTCTTAACACCTCCAAGCTCCAATCCATGTGACTCAGCACATCCCTGTACTTTACCTGTGTTTTCATTTACTACCCTTCTCTTTCCTCCATCTCCTAAATCGCTAGTGACACTGTATCTCTTCTTCCATGATGGTAATGCGGGAGTCTTTTTTTTTTTCTTTCACCTGTTTTCATTCCCCAATGACTTCTTATTATGGCTTCTTCTTATTACTGATAATATAGCAGAGGCTGCAGTTTCTGACCAACATCAGATCATAGTGCTAGATGGGTAATAAAAGATGGTCCCTGTCCCAAACAGGTAGGGTGGGAAGAAGGAAGCCTTATAATCTGCATGTTATACATGGTTGAGCCATGGAGAGATTAAATTTTTTGTGCAAGCCCCTGGCAAAGCCATGAATTGAGCTCTTACCTCTTAAACGTACAGTGTTTCAACAGCAACTCCAATCCTGTCTAAAATCTGCACGATTCTTCAGGCTTGCCTTCAAAATCCCAGGATATAGTTGATGCTATTATCCTACAAGCCGAAGTCCTGAAAATAACCTTGATAAGAACCAAGTGGGATTAGGCTCCAGGCAGGCTAACAAAGAAATCCTTGAGTTCATTTTTTAAATTCACCTGAAGGTGAGA